AAATTTTATAAAGAGATAAAAGGAGTTAAACCTTGCATTAGCTAGAGATCCCAACACGCATCACATAGCCTCTGCATGTATCTATCAAGACTCTTAAAGAGGCATGATTTCAGATCACACAAGCACAGGAGGCAATAACAAATAAAGAAACGCATCAGGGCATGATGGGATTCACTACAGGGTGGATGTTTGTGGAAGACAGAAGATGTCGGAAGCTCTTCGTGACAGTCCGCATTCCTCCTCGAGGGTACAATAAAACGGTGAAGGCGATGGCGGCAGGCAACGACGATGGTGACGCGCTATGGCCAAGCACAGCCGGTGCGCGAGGGAGGGCGCGAGGGCGGAGGCCAGTGCGAGCGAGGGCGAGCTCAGCTGGCGAGGGTGGACGCTATGGCGAGGCCACATGATTTATAACAGAGGATCGATAGCAGTCTATCTCTTTCCTTTTGTCTTAATTCTCTTTTCTTCTATGTTAATTCTCTTTTCTTGGAGCAAGGCGCAGGGGAGCCGGGAGAGGCTCGTCGCCATGTATGCTGGTGCATGCAAACATGCAATGTGTATATGGATAGCATAATAATTTTTCTACTTCCTATTTTGCCGTGATTCCATGTAATTTTTTTTTTTGCAATGCAATACAAGTGCTAGCTTTCTCCCACGATGCAAATATGCTAGTGCTAGCACCCTTCTTCATCCACATTACAATTTACAAACAACAAAATGTAAAAAATATTATTTCTATAATTGTATCACAATACTAAACAAAGTAGCATAGTAGCATGGCTAAATAAATTTGCTTATAAATTGCATTAAACACATAGTGTTTCTCTCGAAATTCATCGATCAAGATTGTGATTCATTCTAAATTAGAGAAGAAAACGGAATCTTTACCTGGTGCATGGATCTCGAGGGGACTTGTGCCTTACTACCTCCAACGCTTGGTCACTGGTCACCAGCGAGAGTCGACGAAGAGGGGCTGAGTTGAGGCCTCAACGTAGCCGGCCACTGCAGTCCGTGATCATGATGCGCATGCGCTGCTTGCCTGCTGGTTGCTGCTAGCTACCGGCTGCTGTCGCCGCAAGGCAGAACCGCAGTCCACAACAGCTTCCGCCCTTTCGGAATCCAGATGCAGATCGCAGGCACGCGGTGAAGATCACCGGGTGAACGAAAACTCTCGATGCTTTTTAGTTGTGTTGTATGTATAATATAGTAGAGATAGAGATTAATCTCACACGTAGTTGCCATCAAGCGTTCAGATGAGCGCCATGCACAAGCGGCCGTATATAAAAACTCAAATGTAATATTCGAGTAAATATAAACGTGTTACACGACATTTTTCTTGAAATGTAAATCTAACAAGGAATATGACTCAAAAACACATAGAACATAAATTATCATTTTATTATTCTCTAGCCAATAATCCTGGATATGACACCCATTGTTTCTATCATTGTTATTCTATAATGAAATGCAAGTCAGTGTAATCAACGATAATATTTTATTGATTCCCATCTGCCTTGAATTTTGAGTTCTATTAAAAAAATATTTTTGGTCACTCTCCTCACCTATCGATGAAATATAGAGGTACAGTTTAATTTCCATATACCCTGTATTTCTTCTCTTTTTTTTCTTTTCGTTCTCTAAGACTGATTTTAAAAACTTATCTGGGAGTAGCAAGAACCATGGACATACCTTGAGAAGAGTCTTTCCAGTGCCCATCACAAAACCTGCGTCAGTGTTTCCAATTCCAGTTGAAAACTGACCAAAGGGCAAAGGCATCTACGAAGAATCAGTAACCAGGAAAACCTAGACTGCAATTGGAGCAAGTTAATGTTTCCCTGTATATTGTACAATCACAGGTGACCTGTACTCACCTGTACTCAGAAGACTCAGCAAGGTACCTCACCTGGTCGGCAACGGCCATCTCGAGAAAGTGCAATGAGGCAGGCACCCCCACTATAGTCTGAATTGGCCTGCAAACAACTTCGAAATGTAAAATGTTCTGGAAGTGGGGGAAACTACATGATTTTTACAACTAAAAAGAGTAAAAGGTGTCGTCGTCGTGTGGGGGTGCGTTGTCGTCGTCGTTCCGCTCGGTAGGGCAGCCGTACGTGCGTCGATGAGGCGAGGTCCTCCGCTACTGACTTGTCTGCTCGGTAGGCCAGCAAACACCGAGCAGCCAAGACGGGGCTGGATGGCCACAAGCTGAAGGGATCAAAAAAATAATAGTACTGCCAGGAACAGAATAAAGGAACAATTAATAAAAATACAGTCCTGTTCTTGCCAATAAAAAGGCAGTCCAATTTAAACATCAACGTTCCAGTTTCATGTGCAGCAATACATATTGCAAGTCACAAAATAGACAGTTGATGAATTGTGTTTATTTGCAGAACATCAATCTTGAATGTGCAAGTGAAATATCCATAACCATGTACACAATATCGTCAGAAATCAAGCCTCTAAATGCATTAGACTGAGCTACAGTGTAGCTTCTCATTGTTTGAGAAACCGTCCTACTGATTTGCACAATCAGGGAAGCAGGTACCAGGATAGGTTGAGTTAGAACAAGATCATACTCACTTTTTTGTGTAATCAATTGCTTAGTTTTCTTACTATATCATTTTTTTCCTTCACTATCTCTCTCATTTGTGGAAAAAGCATTTCTAGTACTAATTCGTAATGATAGGTGCATTCTTATGTTAAAAACCATATATAAGGTCCTAATGAATCCGATTCCCATCCTAACCAACTATAGTTATAAGGATTGCACCATATGAAACTATAGTTTCTACCATCATAAAGCATGGAGCCTTATAGTCCTTAATATGAGAATTTCTTCAATGTCCTGTAATAAAACAAATAATGTTTTGTTTCACAATAAGTACATGGTCAGATAGAATAGTGGTCAGTTTCTCTGGAACGTCTTGCCAGATTTTCCATAGCAGGTTCTTTAAAAATGAGTAACTTAAGGAGTTGCTTACTAAATTCAGTTAAAATAAATTTGTTCATGTAATGGACCTATTTGTACCTAGACACCATTAGTTTAACTGAAGAATGATGAGCTACTGTTCTTATAATAAACCTAGGACAACTTGGAACAACCCCGCCACTCTCTATACTCTATTTTGTTGAAGAGCTCAAATGAATTGGAGAGCATTGAAATTTTGTAATTCACCTGTTGAAGCATATAGTCAAACACCTCATGTACGTGTTAACGGTTTAACAACATAATCGAATCTAGATTAACCAAGCCCACAAACAAGGAGTATTGGATATTTAGAATTAGGTAGTTAATGATAACATTGAGAAAACAGAGTGTTAAGATCAAGCAAGAGAAAGATCATACCAGAGACAATATGGTGTTGCAGTAACTGGAGATGCGTAACTCGCCGTCGTCGCAACGCGGATGCGGGCGACCACTCGCCATCATAGCGACGCGGATGCGGGAGAGCCGGATCGGGGGAGGGCCGCGCGCGTGCCCTACCCGCTTCCGCTGCCGTTCGCCCGGCCTCCACGACCATGAGCAACCTGGCAAACGCAAGATGACGGCGGGGCTCGAGATGGCGGCTGGGCTCGGTGTGGCGTTGCCGGTCGCGGATGCAGGCAGAGCCAACGTGGATGCGGGCGAACTGGATCGGGGGGAGGGCCGCGAGTGCGCCCTGCCCGGCCTCCACAACCACGACGGCGGCGGGGATCGAGATGGCGGCGGGTATCGTCACCGACGACACTCAGGGAGGTGCTGCGGCCTACGGGTGCTAGGGTGGTGTCGGTGGGGTAGGACGGAGGGGCGTTGTCCAGGGCAGGGGCGTTGTCGGCGCGCTGTCTGGGGGCGGCGACCGAGGGGGGCGTATGTGCAGGGCGGGGGCGGCGGCGGCGTCGCAGCCAGCTGCGGGAGGGTACGTGGGGTGGCATCGCGGGCAGCTGCGGGTGGGCACGGGCGGCGGCGGCGTGGCCAGCTGCGGGCGGGCGCGGGCAGAGGTGGCGCGCCCAGCTGCGGGTGAGGGCGACGATGGGGGTGCGGTGGATGCGGAGCCAAGCGAACGAATCACGGGAGCGAGGTTTCCTTTTGTGTTTTGTCACAAGGGACGGGAGTAGGAGTGAGGCTACGGGAACGCAGGAGACGGGACGATGGACCCACGTTAGAATGTCGCACCAAAAAGTATCCACGTTTATTCTTTTTAGTTGTACCTAGGAGATGACATAAACTTTATCTGTTCACTGTACACTGCAGAACCCCGCCAAACGAGGGGCTGGAATAGAAGTTTCCGTGCGTCGGCGCGCGGCGGCCAGACTGGGTCACGCGGCACGCGACAGCGCCCCCGAACCGAACGTCCGAACCCACGGTGCCACTGCTGACTGCCATGCGGCCATGCCTGCCTCCCCCACGGGGCTCACCTACCGAACACCCTTTCCGGTACCCGCTGACGCTCGGGACCCACCTGACGAAAACCCATCTCGTCGCGGGCGCATGACGCTCGCGCCGTACCGACTACCGATAACTCCTTCCAGAAGTGGCACATTTACGCAAACCCCCCTGCTATGCAAAGGATTCGCGCCATGCGTCCATACCTGCTTCGCGAAAGGCTAGATGACACCATGAACACAATCATGCTTACTGTCAAGGACTGTTATGCGAAAGTCTCTAGACTTAAACCCCGTCAAATAAATACTGCTAACCCTGGATTAATCAAAGCCTATCCCGTAGTTAAACTGATCTAGAAATCTAGAAATAAAATAAAATATTCCCCTCGCTGCCGCAATAATTTTGTTCCCACTCCGCTTCGGCCGTCCCCTGTTCCTCGCGTTCCCGTCACGGCCCCTCGGCCTCGCCATCGCTCGCGGCATCACCGCCTGCCCTCCCCTTCCCCACGCGAATAAAGCGCCGGAACCGGAAGCGCGCGCGGCGCCAAGCAAAGCCCCCCAGCGCTCGGGATCGGGAGCCACCACCCCTAGGGTTAGGGCTCGGTTTTGCCTCGTTCCGGGCGTCGACCGATGCGCGGCGCATGGCGGCGGTGAACTGCCTCTACGTCGCGGCCGCCTCCACGGCGGCCAGCGCCGCCGCGCTGCAGTGGTGGGCGTCCTCGCTCCTCGACGGAGACGCTGGGGCCGGCGGGGATGGAGACTGGCTTGGAGCCGTGCTGCGGTCGAGGGTCACCGTCGCGCTTCTGGCGAATCTGGCGGCCCACGTGTTCCTCGTCGTCATCCTCGCGCTCAAGGTGACTTTGGCTCCTTTGTTCCTTCTCTATTTGGTATGATTTTCGTGGGTGGCACGATTGATGCTGGTGTGGGTTTCAATGAAGGAGATTAGATTGTTGTGGTGTAGGCACGGCACGATTGGTCAGCTCATTGAGCTGTGTTTCATGTTCTGTGTTACTTGCTGTATTTATTACGTACTTCTGTAGTGGCTGGTAATCTATTGCTTTGATGGGTCAATTTTGATTGGAGATTTATTTGACTTGCCTAATTTGGAACTTAGGAGCTGGTTCCCCAAATGAAGGTGTTTTGAATGAGCAACAAGCAACATGTTGATCGAATTGGCAAACTCCGGATTTTCTCTTTGAAGGGAATGTTGGAATGAGCTAACTGATGTAGATAGTATGAGACTATGAGTGCAAATGTTGCACATCTAGCTATATTCCTTGGCTTATGGCTTATGCAGTTCTATTTGACTGTAAAACGTAAAAGTTCTAGAGTGTATGGGTGAGGAATGCTTGTCCTTGTAATGTGATGTCTCCTTGGTTAGGATGTCATTTCCTCTTGGCAGTTTATAGCTTCATGTTTTTTTTTATTTGATTGCTGCGGTGGTAGCCATTGACTACTACTATTTTGGTATTTGGGAGGGTGCTAGTCATGATGTCATGTTCATTACCAATGCTGATTAGTAAAGAAATGTCAGGGGCAATAGAAGCATTTCAGTATCAAATTGTTGTCTGTAGTGAGTGCAAATTGTGGTTGCAGTTGCAGCATAATTACCTTTAGGCTTTTTATGGATGGAGTTCAACATGGGAGATGAGCATTTGAACATCTTATTGTTATTTTACTAGTGTAAAAACCTCTCTACAGATACATTTGAATTCTGTAACTTACTTATATATCAAGCATGTGGGAGTCTCCGGCACTGGGTCTGCCCTTTACTTATATATCAAGCATATTTCTGCCTTTCCATTGTTTATGGTGCAGCAGTGTTAATGCTGTTTCCTTTTGCCGTGCAGACTCTATTTTTTGTTCAGCTAACTTCTATAGAGACCAGAAAAGTGTTGGAGCACATCATTAACTATGTAATTTACAAGGTACTTTCTCTCTTGTATTTTCAGTGCCCTTCTGCTAAGCATCCTAAGAAAAAAAAAATCCTGCACTGAATTAGCTGAGGGTTTCTTGTTGCTTCTGGCGATCTTACCACTAATGAACTTGTTTTAACCTTGTAATGTTCTGCATAATCACTTTCTACAACCATGTATGTTTGATAAGATAGCACTTCAATGTAGTGCCTTGATGAGTAGTGAGACTCGAAACAGCATGAATGCATGATAGTGAACTTCTATTTTGTGATGAAAGAAAATGCAACATACTTTTTATCAACCAAAATAAATTGTGGCAGAATGGTTGTGCATTCTGATAGTGTTTGTATATTTGCAGTATAACATAACCTTTTCTAATTAACTATTCACTACCTCCTCTGATCACAAATATAAGCCCATCTGTCAAACTTTGCTAATTTCGACCATCAAATATCTGAAAAATTATATAGATTGAACCCAACCTTGACATGACTAGATTTATTATGAAAAATACTTTTTATAATATATAACTCTTTTCATTTAAGATATACTCCCTCGTTTGGAATTGTAAGTCGTTTTAGCATTTTGTCCTAAATCAAAGATCCCTAGGTTTGACCAAGTTTATAGAAAAATCCACAAATATCTACAGCATCAAACAATATTCATTAGATGCACCATGAAATATATTTCTGTAGTGCATTTATTTGATATTTTAGGTGTTAATATACTTTTCTATAAACTCGGTTAACGCTAGAGAAGTTGACTTAGTACAAAGCTAAAAGAACTTACATCAGGAGTGTATCTGCATAGATATCACCAATCAAATTTGAAAAAGAAATTTGACATAGGACAAACATAGATCGTCCTGTATTTATGATCGGAGGAGGTATAAATTAATTTACATAATCACCATTGTGCATGTTTTATGTATTTGTTTAGCTTGAAGTGCCTTTTGAAGTAGCAGTTATAATTTGATTATAATTTTGCACTTCTAATGTTGCAAAGGTACGTTTATAACTATGTCAGTGTACAGCGCACTAACTGTTCTTCATAGTTTAAAGGGATGTTTATCAACTCAACAGAAGAACAAACACACGAGTTTTAGCATACATCTACTAAATGGGTTGCTGACTAATAAAAAAATGACTAATTAGTTGTATGGTTGATACATGCTAGATGTCATGTATCCGTCAGCTACGGTAGATGAGGTCTTTTATCAATCCTAGGTCTTAACAGCCGTTCTTGAAATGCTGCACAAAGTATGTTATTAAGTTGCAATTGACTATCCTTCGTATATCTTTTGTTAGCCCTGTTGTCATACTTTGTCATTCATTCATTATGTTCTTGCTGTCCACAATTTGAATAATGATGAGGACGAGCTATGTGTGATACAATTAATCGGCGTTCTGTTACAGGGAACTTTTCTCCCACTGGTTGTGCCTCCTACTTCTCAGCAAATTATCCTTTGGTCAACTTGGTTGGTCATTCTTTGTTCACTGAAGGTACTCTGCAACTTGTGCTTGTTGAAGTTCTACCAATCACATTAACTGAAATGCATGTCACATCCAGATGTTTCAATCATTGGCCAGAGAACGTCTAGAGCAGCTGAATGCTTCTCCCTCAGCGACTCCTTCAAATTATTTCCGTGTGTACTCTGCATTGCTTCTGGTTTTATCAGCTGATCTGCTTTGGTAATATTCCCTGGTTAGTTTGTATTTAGCCATTTATTTTATACCTGCATATAGCACAGTGGTCATTTTTCAATATGCACAAGGTAATCCTTGAGTATTGCATTTTCATCATGACATTTTATCTATTTACTCACCCTTCCATAGATGGTAACCAGCAGTGCAGCAGTATCATGTATTAATGGAGAATCCTTTTGCTGCCCATGCTTATTGTTTTATTTCTTACAATGTACAATTTACTGTATCAAGTCTGTCTCTATACATTATAATATTTAGCATTTTTACAATCTTTAGGCCTATTTGTTTTAGTATGTTCTTTCTGTTAAAATGGGCTCACCAGTGCTTTATTATCTATATATTCTCCAGGATGTGGCTCTGTGTAGGGTTCTGCAGCTCCTGTAATTCCAAGTTGTTTTGGCTCCTGTTCTTTGAACCACTTAGTATTGCCTTTGATACACTGCAGGTAATTGAATCAGGGTTATTCAAGATGTCACTCATTGAGTCCTTTCCATTGGCCATTTGGCCTGGAAGCTTGATTTTGGTTAATACTAGCTGTCTGTTATATCTGTTGCTATGAATCTTAAATAAACTATCGTTACAATCTGAAATACTATATGTGGACCTATTTATCATTCACAACTAATTATCCTTGAATAAAGAAAGTACATGTAAAACATTCAACACTCAACAGATCAAGTCATAGAGATTCATCATATTATAAGCCCCTACAAATACGACTGTGCATGGATGATCACATCCTACACATAGCAGCACGGATAGAAAACCAATGCACATAAAATTCCCAAATGGTGGAACTTGTCACTCAAATCTTCATAAGTAGTAATGATAAACTGTGAATTTTAAAAACTGTCATGAAGGTTTGTGTGCATACTGTGGATGTTCAGTACTTCTGAGTCTCTTCATGACTTATCTCACAGTGATTTCTGTTGGCAGTCTATCATGGTGCATGGGTTTCAGTTATTTGACATCTGGCAACGGCATCTTATGGAAAGTGGTGCAGACTTTCTTGATTTCCAGAAATCTTATAAGCAAGCAGCAGGTGATAAACTGCTATTTTCTCATCTTTGATTAGCTTATGAGTTTAGTTACTACAGTTAATTAACTAATGTGGTGTGTAAGTTATTTGATCTGCAAATCTTGTGGTTGATTGTTTCTTAACTTTAGTGACCATCAGAGGAATATAGATACTACCACTAAATAAAGGTGGGATCCTAGGATGCATACAGTGAAAGAGTCTAAATTTAAACTTAAACCTGCAATATCTTTTTGAAATTTAGGGCAGCTTTGAAAATATGAGCACGCTAATCTGAAAGATCGTTTGAACTACTCCCTCTGTTTCGCAAAGGTTGCAGTTCTTTGTCGTAAGTCAAGCATCTATATGTCACGAAAATATTTCTCATGATGGATCTAAAAACATAAACCTTATGATGTTAATAATCTATATGAATTTATAGAAATTGATGGTCAAAGATAAAAAGTTTTTGACTTCGGACAAAACTAAAACAGCCACTGTTAGCATTTAATACCTGCTATTACTTTGTATTAATACCTGCCATTACTTTATGATTTCTTATCACTTCACCAGGGTCTGACCATTCTTTGTAATTGCAGGATCTTTTTCTGAATGGAGGGGCAAGCTTACTAGGAACTTTGGTTTTGCCATTGATTTGATAAGCTTGTTGATGTCACTTGGTCATTACTCGATGATCTTTTGGCTTCGTGGTATGGCGTTTCATCTGGTTGATGCAGTTCTCTTATTGAACTTGCGTGTAAGTGACCTTTTACTTAACAATTTAATGTTGTGACGTTTACATAATATTTTTTTTTATATATAGTGTGTTGATATCATTCATTTGAAACATTTCCAGGCTCTTATAGTTTCCTTTTTGAAGAGGATTAAAACTTACATCAAGTTACGGAAGTCACTTAGTTCACTCGATGGAGCACTTCCAGATGCTACGTATGATGAAATCTGTGCATATGATGATGAGTGTGCCATCTGCAGGGTAAATAATTACCTAGATCTATAGAATCACATGGGGCTTCAGTCCTTGTGTATCTGAACCCTTTTCTTTCTCCTGCAACTTGCAGGGACCAATGGGTCGAGCTAAAAAGTTGTCCTGCAACCATCTATTTCATCTAGCTTGTTTGCGATCATGGTATGCCCTTACTTTTCATATATAGTGCAATTGCCTCTTGATAGTTTGCAGTACAGTTAATAGGTTATATTCATAACACAATCCTTTCAGCTTACTCCCTCTGCCCTAAATTATAGGTCGTTTCGGCTTTTCTAGGTACATAGCTTTTGCTGTGCACTTAGATATACGCTATGTCTAGCCAAAACGACCTATAATTTGGAACGGAGGGAGTACTATTCTGCATGCTCCAGAAATGATGCTCCTACTGTTTGCTTGAGGAAGTGCTGCTTATATTATTGTAATTGGCTAGCTGATGCTATGATTTAAATTGGCTTGCAAGATCAGTGCTCCTGGCTTGGTTCTTAGTTTTCCTGTTGTAATGAGATATGTGAAGAAAGGGAAACTTTAGGGTACGTTTGGTTGGGTATGCTAACTTAATATGGCAAAAGTTGGTCATTCTAGTGTCTATGCGTGTAGCTTAGTTTGCCACCAAAATTTTGGCCTACACATGAATTTTGGTCATCCCCATACAATTCCTTGTGCCGATATAATGGCAAAACTAGAGGTGTCAAATTTTATTGCCGAAACATTGGTGAGTCGATTGGATTCTCACCAGCCTTCGATAGGGTGGCTGAGGCACAATTGATATGATCCCTTTTATTTCTGAGCAGGCCAGCAGGGAATACTTTATCGAAATGAATTCGAAGTTTGTATGCATATGAACAGGGGAAGTAATGAATTAGTACCTCGAGCTATGAAAGGAGTAGTGCTGGAAGATTTTCCCTCTAAAGAAAGGGACATTGGCTGAATTAGTAGCATTTGTATGCAGTATCTACATGGAGATCATCGCATTTTTTAGTTTATCCTGAAATTACATTGTTATGTCTAGGTTGGATCAAGGGCTAATGGAAGGTTACTCCTGTCCAACTTGTCGGAGACCGCTCTTATTGTCATCTGAAGGGCAAACAAGGTCTACGACTGCGGAGGTAGCAAATGTTCAGCGAATTGCGGAACAGCTTACTATGGGGATGAATCAGCAGAGAGTTCCTGGTAATGACCATCCTGTTGAACAGCAGAACCCTTCAGATGCTGTTTGGAGGTATGTATCAGTACTATTTTTTTTCTATCATCTTATTTTATTTTTGCACTGTATTCACGATGATACTGAATTAAAGGTGTGAATGGGGCCACTAGCTACATTAGCATAGCAGTTACTTTATCAGAGCATAGCGGAATATGGGTGCGTTTGGCCGGTAGCCACAGGACGCCGCAACGAAGCTTTGGTGCGCCGAATGTGTGGCGGACAAAACGATCGCCAGACTATTGGCGAGAGTTGGCGCAGCAGCAGACAGGATACGGTGCCGCACTTTTGGCTCGCCCAGTGCGCGGCAGCAACCAAACACTGCAGCGGCGTGCCACAGTTCGGTTGCGGCGTCCTCCGGCTACTATCCAAACAGACCCTATGCAATTTATTGCATTTGAGAAAGTACTATTAAAAAGATACCCATGTTTGATGTGTACACCAGTCCTAGGAAGATTGCTTTGGTAGATACAGTTAACTAGCTGCATGAGCATTTGGGTTAATGTATGTCTTCTTTCCGATTCTCTGAACAAATTGTTCGGGGACCTGAACAACAACAACAACAACAACAAAGCCTTTAAGTCCCAAGCAAGTTGGGGTAGGTTAGAGTTGAAACCCAGCAGAAGCAATCAAGGTTCAGGCACGTGAATAGCTGTTTTCCAAGCACTCCTATCTAAGGCTAAGTCTTTGGGTATATTCCATCCTTTCAAGTCTCCTTTTATTGCCTCTACCCAAGTCAACTTCGGTCTTCCCCTGCCTCTCTTCACGTTACTATCTTGGCTTAGGATTCCACTACGCACCGGTGCCTTTAGAGGTTTCCGTTGGACATGTCCAAACCATCTCAACCGGTGTTGGACAAGCTTTTCTTCAATTGGTGCTACCCCTAATCTATCACGTATATCATCGTTCCGAACTCGATCCCTTCTTGTATGACCGCAAACCCAACGCAACATACGCATTTCCGCGACACTTATCTGTTGAACATATCGTCAAGACCTTTTGTGGAAAAGTGAGTGCACCCTGCAGCCTAGCCATGACCTTTTAAATTCATCAGTGCTAATATAAGATGAGAAGGAAATCAACATGATGTAAGATCAACTGATAGCTGATCTTGAGATTTGTCTTTTCCTTAGATTCACTGCATCTTTACGAAACAGTAGCCAGGAGCCTAAGGGCCAACATTTCTACATTAGTACTGCTGATGTAGCGAATGAACTTGGGCAACATGCTCAAACAACAACAGATCAAATCTCTAGCTAGCATGTTCACTAAAAAAATCTTAGATTATATGGTTGGTTTTGCATCAGCGATATTAATCTTTTGGTTCCTTGATCTGTTCCTTGTCGGTGATGCAGAGGTGTTGGTCTGGATGCTAGCTGGATTCCACCGTGGTCAAGCCCTGTGATGGACAATCCCAGTTCCTCTAGTGCAGTGAGGTCAGTAGGTCTTACTGGAGTTCATATGATGATGAGGCAGTTGGCTTCTGTGACAGACAATTATGGGCATGCTGATGGTACCTGGAACCTATGGCCCGAGCCGATGGCAGGGTCCTCTCTTGTTCCATCCACTTCCTCGATGCCTGGTAGTGCATCTGCTTCTGGATTGCGGCTCCGTGGTAGTGCAGACACAGGCAATGGAAGTCTTTCAGAGGTACTCACTATGGTAGATAGAGTGCGGGAAGTTCTACCTCATATCCCTGATGAGCTAATTATAGAGGTATGTGTCTGTCTCGCACAAGTCTGGTCATAGTTAATTCTTGTGACTTTACATCCAGTGACGCCTTTCCTTGTTTGTTCTCATTTATTGCTGTAGGATTTGATGAGGACAAACAACATAAACGCGACTGTGAATAATCTTCTGCTGATGCAGTAGTAGATACGTCAATACAACATATAAGTATGACGTTTACTGGCTATAAAAGCTTATATAAGAAAAAGCATGTATAGTTAAAGGCGAGCCTGGGTGTAACAACACTCTTTGGTTCTGTAATAAAAGCCTTTTTTTTTCTTTATTTTTGTTCACAGAGGTTTGTATAGCAACCATAGTCGTATAATATCTTGCTCGTTATGCTATAGGTTAGTGTATTTAGAAAGATATTGCCATCGGAATAAAATTTGTTTTGGGACTATATATCATGCGTCAGTAAAGCACTATGTCGGTACGTATCATCTTCCAGCTTCTATTTGCGCACGCGGATTGGTAACCTGCAGCTATATGGTGAACATTTGATGTATTTTTTGAAGAAAAGCTATAAAAACTCCCCGGTGTGGAATGATCTTTTAAAAGTCAAGCACATTTACCTAAAAGGCAGGTCTGAGAGGATTGAGCCTTTTATCCGTGTTATTATAAAAGATGATCCTGATCTAAAGTTCACTAAAAAGTCGTGATGTCATGACGCTAAACTTTATTGCGTTTCACGCTGTTCCGTCCATCTTTTATCGTCTTTCGCCGTATGACTGCCCCGTGGGCCTACCCAGTGAAGATGTCTAAAATACTCCTCTTTGCTTATTAACGTGTCCTTCCTCTTCCCTAAACACAACGCCGCATGCACTCTGACCACCGGCCCTATCTCACCGGTTAATTGATGGGTGAGTCCCACTTATTTTTAGATTTTTTAATCGTTTCATTCACATCTCCAGCCCCTCCACGGCTCCGCCTCGCGGACTCGCATGGCGCGGCCGCTTCGCCTCGTCCTCACCGGCGCCGTGCCCTCCGCCGGAGCCTGCGCCACCAGAGCCCGTGTCTCCCGCGCCGTCAAAGCTCGCGGCCTCCGCGCCGTCGGAGCTCGCGTCGTCCGCGCCACCCGTACCGCCAGAGCTCGCGGTGGCCGGCGGCGGTGGGCGGTGGCGGAGGCCGAGGACGGCAGCGAAGTCCGGGGGCGGCGTGCCGGAGCCGAGGGTGGCGGAGTCCGGGCACGGCGTCGGTGGAGGACGAGCTGCAGCCACGCGCGTCGTCCAGTTCGTTTGATGCTGGAACCAGGATAAGTCTGGTGGCCGCAAGGGCTCAGCGGGCGCTCGTAGCACGACGGGGACGGCGAGGCCACGGCCGCCAGCGCCGTCTCGGACGCCGACGAGAGGCGCTGCCTCGGCGTGTGCGACGACTCCGTGTTGGCTATGTATCTCAGGAAGAACTGCGGGTCCTCGCTGCTCGCCGTGCCGCGGCGCAACTGGCAAGGGAAGCTCGGCGGCATTGAGTCCTAATCACGCCGACGCCCTCCGCTCATGCCTCCCCGTTGCCGGCGGCGCCTGCTGCTGCCCGCCGGACGCCGCGCCCGCAGCTCCTCCCGCTCCTCTCGCATGCCTACTCCCACCTCGATCTGCTGCCCGTTCGGCCGTCCCGCGCGCACGCGGTCATTCACCACCACCACCACTCCGACGATGGAGCGAGCAAGCAGGAGCGGACGGTCGCAGGTAGCCGCGTGGAGCCAAAGCTGCGGGCCATGGAGCGCACGCGGTCGTTCCCATCTTGGAAGCCGAGCCCAAAGAAGGATGGCCCGCACGACCGCGGGATGGGGTGGGGTGCTCGCGGCGGGGCCCGCACGGCCGGCGTCGAGACCGGCCCTCGCGTCCGCGGCGTGGAGCGGGGCGCTCGCAGCGGCGCCCGCGCTGCCGGCGTCCGGGACGGCCCACGCGGCTCCGACGCGGCTCTCTCCTCCCTCTTCTCGCCCGTGGCCGGCAAGGGCTCCGCGGAGGCTCGAGATGGGGGCGGCTGCGGCGCCTACACTCGTGCCCGCATGCTCGCCGGCGGCCGCGGTGGATGCGGTGCCCACACGCCGGTAGCGATGGCCGGGGCGCCGGTCGTGTTGACCGGGGATGCCCCCAGCGCTGCGCCTTTCGAGCGTCGTCGATTCGGCCGTGGCGGCACGAAGAGAAGAGAACAAGGAAGGTTTGGGTGGCAGACAAATGGGTCGCACTGTAGACTAAAATGGTCGTTCCATTCGTCTGTTTGACACTGTTAGAGGCCAAAGTGGACGGAACGACGTGGAAGACAAGAAATTTTAGCGTCGTGGCATCAAGGTGTTTTCGAACTTTTTAGTGTCTTATAGCCAGGACCATCTTTTATAATGGCACATAGGTAAAAGGCTCGTAAGGATTGATGATGGTAAGAATACCAGTTTCTGGCATGATCGTTGGTGTGGGCTTGTTTCCTTGGCAGACAAGTTTCCTAGCTTGTATGAGATAAGTGAAGATCAGGAATGTTCAGTGGAAACCATGAAACAAAGAAGGTGGAAACTTAAATTCAGAAGATGGCTACATGAAGATCTGCAAAATCAATTGGGTAGATTGCAGGATCTTGTACACCGTTGTTGTACTAATAATAACAAAGATGCAATTTGGGATTGGGAGAAGTGAAGTGTTTTCTCTGTTAAATTAACTTACAAATATTTGTGTAAGTATGAGTATGGCCCTAACTTCAAAAGAATCTGGAAATCGAAAATTCCATTAAAAATCAAAATATTCATGTGGCTACTATCACAGAATGCTATTCTGACAAAGGACAACTTAATCAAGCAAAAATGAAAAGGTGAAAAAACCTGTGCCTTTTGCACAGAGGAAGAAAGTGTTCAGCATATCTTCTTTGAGTGCTTGACTACAAAATACATCTGGAACCTTTTGGCGTATTCATTGGGTGCAGACTGCAGGCCGAGCAACATGGAGCAATATTGGGTTTGGGTGAACAAGTTTCTACCTCAGAGCCCGCAAATGCATGCCGTTGGGCTTGCAGCAGTTTACTGGGCAATCTGGAGATCTAGGAACTCTGTATGCTTTGAAGATAAGAGAATTAAATCTCCTACTGAGATTGTTTGTATGATCTGCTCGTTCCTTACTTATTGGGCAGGTCTGCTGAGTGAAGACTTGAAGGACCAAGTGATCCAAGGCGCTGACGCGGTAAAGACGGCGGCTCTCTTCTTCCATAAGCAAAGCCAGCAAGCATGTGCGAAGGAGGAGCATCAACTGGTGCCGTATGCTGGTTAATCCACAAAGAGGAGCAAGTCTTAAATTCTGGGGGTGCTGTAGTAGAGCACAAGTGTCATCCTGTTAGTTTGTTAGCATCGTGTGGCACTCTGTTTGCTGTCAAGCGTCTAAAAGTCTTTGCGGTAGTGGTGGTGCGTTCAGGCATGTGTTCCCTTGGTGATTGCGTGTCTGAATGCGGTTATGTTCTGTGATGTATGTCGTTAAGACGGATATGAACTGAAAACTCTCTGTAATTTCGTTGCTGCGGTAATGAAATTCGGTTTTACCGGTGTGAAAAAAAAATGGTGAACATTTGATTGAAGGGAAAGTAGTGGATTTGCCAATGCAAAGCTATCGGTTGTGCAGTAGTAATGTTCTGCTGGTACTTCAATTGGATGAAGTCTTGCAACGAGTCTGGCCAGGAGCGTTGCTGGGACTATCTATTTGATTGTAGGGACAGCTACCATGAATATCACTTGGATGCTGTGCCTGCATGCTTGCGATTTAGATGTATGCTTGTTTCCAGTTGGTCATATCTCCATGTTGAAACGGGACATTTCAAATGTTTTTACGTTTATTAAGATTGCGGTTGTTTTTGTGAACGAGATAAAATGGGACGAACTCGTCAACGACCCAAGGACGATATTGAAAAGGATTGAGAGGAATTTATCCCCTACAAGTCAAAATCCTTTTAACCGCCTTCAATTCTCTTGGATCGAGAATTTTTTTTTAGAAGACTTCACCGGAGGGGGGAGAGCCCCACCTGAATGATTTTCCATAGATTCCGGTAAGCCGGTAAATGGAGGGTGCCAGGCACCTAGAGTTTACATGGTCTTAATCGTACAGGGCATTAATTCATGACAAATAAATTACACCAGTGATCAGCAATGGAACGGTCTTGGGAATGAAGGCGGCTGCTCCATAGGCGACATGTTTCCCTCGCAAATTTGTCTGAGGCGGCTCGAGGCGGGGTTCTTGATGGCGAAAAGACGACGTCGTGGCGATGGTTCCAAATCTGCCAAACAACACGGTGAGTATCATCATCGGGAAGTGCTTAGCCGGGATATGTGGTGGCCGTGGCATCTCCCATAGGTGAGTTGGCTCCGGAAGGTTGACCCTGATCCAGCCAATATGATTCCGTAAAGTCGAAGGAACCAGCAAGTGAAAGATGAGGTGATCGGCGGTCTCGCCGCATTACCACAGAGTTGGCAAATGTAAATCGTCGAGGACATGCTTGAGGTGGAGGTTGTAACAGCACTGTATGCGGTTGTTTACCAATAACCAGCCGAAAAAACGTATCCTGGGGGGTGCTCGGTTTCTCCAAACGAAGCTAGAGAAATTGCACGGGGAGCCCATGGTCTTGGATGCCTGATACACGGCTGAAGCATGGAGAGTTCCCAGCTGGCCGGCAAATTTGGAATATCTGTTGTCCGGAGCTTGTGTTAAAGTGATGTTGCTGATCATTTCATTGAGGGCATGCAGCTCTTCACTTGCTTGGGGTGACAGCCTGGAGACCAACATCGGTTGCAAACCGATGGTGAGGACCTCGGAGGCAGAGGCATCCGGCTTCGTGCAGTGGGAGAAAAGGCAGGGGGACACGTGGTGTTTGGTTATTGTTACTAGGTGTGACACGTTTATACCAAGGTTAAACAAATGGACACGTGGTATGAAATTTGTTCGCAAGCAAAGTAACTTGACAATAACTTGTTGCTTTAAATATATTGTTTTCTATATTACAGAAACAAAATGCATTCTTATGCCCAACAATTGGCATAGCCACATATATGCTCCGATCCTTACAGAAAGAATTGAAGGATGGTTACAAGTAAAATGAACCTGGAATACATAGTAATTAGGAAAAATAGAAAGGTTTCAAATTGTATCGTACGAAAGAGATCGAGCATAGTCCACGGATGAATCTCTCATGGACGATTAGCAGTGGGTGGGTCTGAAATTAATAAATGATATGAATGAATATATAATGGAGGTGTTGTGTTGGTGTTGTTGCTTGGTGATGGACGATGACGATGATCTCAGTTGGTCCGGCTCTTGACGATGTCGAGGCTCATCTCGCTGGGGTCGGTGGCCTGGATCTCGCACTGGATGCCGTCCAGCTCCCTCCTGAACCTGTCCTTGGAGCTGGCGTACAGCATCTTGCTCCGGGTACGTGCAGTGTCAGGGGACCTACACATATATTGATCGGCAATGGCCATTAATTATTTTCAGTTGGTTAATCAGATACACATTGCTGCATAGTATATACGTGAGCTGCATGCACATGCATGATGAATGGATGAATATATATGATTACCAGGAGAAGAAGAAGATCTTGCTCTTCTGGCAGTTCTCGACGGTGGTGAAGTCGAGGTCGTAGATTGCGTAGCGGCACTCGTCGGCGGGGAGGCTGTCGGTGAAGTCGCCGTAGCCCTGGTTTGGTTCGCCGAGGCGGTCCACCTTGATCTCCATGTCCTTGTCGTCGATCCTGAAGACGATGAACCGGAAGCTCCGCCGCGCCTTCAGCTCCCGGAACTTCACCTTGCACTCGTCGTTCACCGCCAGGCCGGACGCAGAGTTCGCCTGCATACAGGAAGATAATGAGTCATTTCATTTCATTTCAAATATCATTTGCCATCCATCTCTCAAATGTAGCCTAGCATGATCAGCAATTAGTTAGTTATACGAGAGAGGTCTAGTAGCTACAGAGAGAGAAAGGATATATGCGGAGGAGGAGGAGGTATCATATCACCATGGCTGCTTGTGCCTGACTTCTGAGCTCGAGCAATGCGATAGAGAGATGGCAATGGAGAGGGAGATCGATAGCAGCTAGCAGGTGTTTGTTGCGGGAGAGGGGAGGAGAGGACGGGAGAGAAACGCGCTCACATCACGGGGGCAGCGGACAGCCGAGAGAGATAACAGGAACAAGAGAGAGGATCGACGCATTGCTTAGCGCCACGTCTTGGTGGGACCGGCCCTCCGGGGAGGCAACGCAACGTTTGACCTGGTCGTCCCTCGGCTATGTTTAGGCAAACATGCATACTCATACTCCCCATGTTTGGCACCCCCTCCCTAGGCCTGCCTGCCTCACTAGTCAACAACGAAGCATTGTTGCGTAATAAATTTCATAGCTCCCCATCATATGGTTGCGTCAGAAATTACCGGCGTAGGAACGAGGAAACACGTACTTAGGGCCTATAAGGCCTAAATGCTAATCGCTAGCTAGCTAAAAGTAAATGTAATCAAAATTAGCTCTAGTGCATCTAAATAAGAGGGCAAATAGATGGGTTAATTTTTTAGTCAAGACTGTAACTAATTATTAGCCAACTAGCTACTAATTTTTAGCTCCAAAACTAGTAACTAACCATGTTTATTCAAACAGACCCTTAATCGTACATAAATATACAACCAAACATTCAAATGAAGATAAATAGAGAGGAAACACATTTTTCTCCGCTAAGAAATGTCGTTTTCTGCGGTTGATAAGCCGGATGCTGTTTTGTTGTAAGAGAAAAACACTGTGTCATGGCTAATTGAGTAGCGCACATGTGCAGAGTCTTGCAAAATTTAGAAAGCTAATTGAGTAACTCAGAGCTGTTCAACCAAATGAGTTCTAGGCGCACACAATTGACCTAACTGTCTTCTTAATGATAAACAGGCTGTCAAGACTCCTCAAAAAAAAAAAAAACAATTGACCTAACTGTGCTGACTGCTGAAGGTATTAGAACTGCACCAAAATTGTTCGAGATGGGCTTCAAAAATTTTTTTGCTCGAGATGGGTCAGGCCTACTTTCTCTAGCCCTGTAATCTACACTACGGTCGAGCCCATTACGAAATGTGGTACTATACTATGTTTACTTGGCCTAAATAAAACAAATTCATTATAACACCATTGTACTGGTTACGAAAATGGGGGAAAAAATGGGGCCCCTTATTTTGATGTCTAACTTTGATTTTGTCCTTATATATATTTAATTTTATGATTTTGCTTTAGTTTTTTTTTCAAAATGAAGACAAAGTTTACCCTTGTTTCGTTGAGAGAAGCTAATGGTGTCACCTCAACTAAAAAAAAGACTAGTTTTCCACGTGAATTTGCCCCTACATTTTTAGTAATATATGATTTTAACCTTTGTTTTAATATCAAATATTTGGATAGCATTTTAAAAGATTTTTTATAGCAAAATTTGCAATTTTTTAAAATTTAAGCAAAATTTTAAAAGTTTCATATGCTTAATCAACCATCCACGAAAGCTAAGATGGTTAGGATAACACCAGCAATTAGTATCATCTTTTAATTTTTCTTTTTTTGTTTAATTTACTTACTCAGCCTTCAGTTAATATAGGCTTGTTCGACACGTAGTTTCAGCAACATCTGTTGCTACTGTGGCTGTCTGCCTCCTTGCAGTGGCATTAGCTAATACAAAGCAGCTGAACATACCCTTGTCTAAAATAGAGACAAATAATGGCTTTCTATTAAAAAAATAAGGGTAAAATCATAACTTAAAAAAGATAGTAAAATCACTATTGCCCTCCAAAGCAGAGGTGAAAAACACTAATCGCCTTAAAGTTCTAGGCTTTCAGTGCGATTAAAGTTGTGGTAGTCCTGTGAAAACAACTTAAAACCATGAGTCCATGATGGATCAGTATAACATGTTGCACATTTATGATAGTTACCGCAAAATATTGGTAGACTAGTGAAATTTACTTATGTAGAAGGCCAATTGGAGCGAGATCTCTCCAAAGAATTCAGTTCAGTTTTGGCGTGCACACGTACGCTCAGGCGGCTCAACGACTCATGAGATTGGCGTCGTCGGCCCACCGGTCCGCGAGGCAGTCGCTGTCTCGCTGGCGTGGCCGGGTCCATGCGCGGGCCCCACAAATGGGCAACTCACAAGCTACAAGCCACGATGAGAGAGAAGGCGGGAAGTCGTCGTCGTATATGCCCGTATGCACGTACAAGGTGGGGCCCACGAGGGTTCTGTCGTGTACGGAGGAACGTCCACGTCTTTTTGGGACGACAGAATCACTCGATTCCGAGGGTTTGTTTAAATACCGCTGTAAAGTTTATGGGTGTCATATTGATTTTATACGGGTGTCGTATACGCTGTTTGGATACTAATAAAAACATAAATTACATCAGTAAACCGCGAGACGAATTTATTAAGCATAATTAATCCGTCATTAGCATATGTGTTACTGTAGCACCACATTGTCAAATCATGGGCTACTTAGGCTTAAAAGATTCGTCACGTAGAGTAGTCATAATCTGTAAAATTAATTATTTTTTTAATCTATATTTAATATTTTATGCATATGTTCAAACATTTGATGAGACAGTATGTAAGTTGTTGGAGGAGGAACTACACAAGCCTGAGTATCCATATCCGGCGCTTAGCCAGGAGAGTAGTAAAAGTAGCTTCGTGGTAAGATTTACCAAAAGTGCAAAATTTATGCAGAAAAGTCTCTGCTTTAATTTCTCCTACTCACTTTTACTGGATCTTTTCTTTCTTTGCAACCGTAGTAATTTGAAGAGGTGTGATGTTGACTAAAGCACATCTTTTTTCTTACCAAAGTAAAGTGGTTTGCGTGGATGACATTATTGGGTCATTGGCAACGGCTTTCTTCAGTCTTCCGTCTTCACCCAGGGTGAAGACCGGAGACATGCTAACTTTGGAGCAAAATGTTCCTCGTTTGTCTCTTTCCTTAGACATTCATTAGTACAAAAAAAACTCCAAATTTCGTTTCTACAACGCGTGAAACTAGCGTGTGATTTGTATGGCTATAAGTCAGTCCTAATTGCTATAGAGAGTGGGGTCCATCCAGGTCAACGTCAAGTTGCATTGTAGTTTAGATTGGAGATTTTTGCAGATTTGGTTGCAGTTGGCAATTGCAAAAGATTCAGTGTCTGGATCCACGCTAAACTAAACAAGGCCCAGGTCTGATCCACGCTCCTGCTCCTGCTCTGTCCTTGCAATTGCAGAAGTGATGGCGCGACCTCCTTTTTCTTGTAATTTAAGGGGGTGTCGGGTTGCAAGTCAAAGTTTAGTTCGTGTGACATTTTAACGTTCAAATGTTAATTAGAAGGACTAAACATAAGTTAATTATAAAACTAAATACACAGATAGAGACTAATTTACGAGATGAATCTATTAAGCATAACAAACCCATCATTAGCATATATTTACTGTAGCATCGCATTATCAAATCATAAACTAATTATGCTTAATAGATTCGTCTCGTAAATTAGTCTCGATCTATACAGTTAGTTTTATAATTAGTCTATACTTAATACTCTAAATTAGTGTCAAACATCCGATATGACAGAAACTAAATTTTAGTGTGCGGAACCAAACACCCCCTAAGTCAAGCCATCCTCCGCGGTTGTGCTGTTACTAGACAGCTACTTCAATTCAATTTTAGTGCCAAATGCACATGAAATTAAGAGAATGTGAACAAAAATTAAGAGAGATGATAGCTGTTAGTGTGTTTCCTTTCTTTTGATAACACAGATTAAATAGGCACTGCAAGCTTGTTTATGTTACAAATTACAAGTGCACATGGCGAGACAGTGACACAGATCATGGGAGATGATGTGGGAGATCATTGTGAAGGCTGATGAGGTGGATTAGTTTAAGCAAGCACGACAAAACACAAAGGACACGAGCACTAGTCTACAGTCACTGGCACGTGCAAAGACCGGTGCTGAGTCCAGAGGTAAAAAAAAAAGGGGTAAAATCCAATTTACAACCTTCAACTCTCGCCAAAGTCCGGATTTCAACCTCGAACTCCAAAACCGGATAACTTTGGTCCTCGAACTCTTGAAACCGTTCACTTTTCAACCCTAGGTCGGTTTCGGGCGGTTTTGGTGGAGTATTAAATTGGACTTTAAGAGTTCGAGGGCCAAAGTTATCTAGTTTTAGAGTTTGAGGTTGAAATCCGAACTTTGGCGAGAGTTGATGGTTGTAAATTGGACTTTACCAAAAAAAAAAGGGGGCAAGATGGCCCTGTTTGGTTTCTAATGCCGCTCCTAAAATTTCTATCACATCGAATATTTAGACACATGCATGGAGTATTAAATATAGACTAATTACGAAACTAATTACACAACTCACGACTAATTTGCGAGACGAATCTTTTAAGCCTAATTAGTTCATGTTTGGACAACGCGGTGCTACAGTAAATATATGCTAATGATAGATTAATTAGGTTTAAAAAATCATTTCGTAAATTAACCTCCATATATGTAATTGATTTTGTAATTAATCTATATTTAATACTCTTTATTAATATTTAAATATTCGATGTGACATGAAATTTAGAAGAACACCTCCTGGTACTAAGAAATAGTACTGCTATGGAGTAACTCGCAAAATTAAAAACTGGACAGCACGGTCCATTGTCTCCATAGACATGATGTAGTGCAGAAGTATCAGTTGGTCTGCAAATCGCAGTTAAGTCCGGTCGTTTTCCAACGTCCGGGGTCTTTGCGACGACTCAAGGTTGACCGACGAATTTGAGTCCAAATTGGTAAGGTCTCGCTTGATATGGTCGGATTCACCTTAATTCATATGTTTTGGAGTGAATTGGGGTAGAATTTAGTTTAAGTTTCACTCCAATTCACCCCAATACATGTGGATCGATGAAAATCCGACTACATCCAAACAAGGCCTAAGTGAGGATAACCATGGGAAAAATTACCACAAGAATTATTGTTATGAATAGATCATTTGGATATAATAGAAAGAAACCCGTTCAACTTTGGACTCTGAAGAAGCATCACGCTAATGTCATGACAGGAAAGCAAACCGTAGGCTGTGACTGTGAGCACTACATACTCGTCATGGCAGAGAAAGAAAAACTACTCGGAAGTTTGATCGTAACTCGGTTATGAAACATTATTAGCAGATTTTTTTAATGCAATGACACGAGCTCTCCTTTTCAATTAAGTAGAATAAAATTAACTCGGTTTATACGGGAAATCGGACCTAAAACCACATAGACGCACGGTTTATTAGATGGAAAACCAGTAAAAACCCAACCATGACAGCCTAGATTCTGTCAATAGTTCTCCATCCATAAGACACAAAGATTTGCATAACCGTCGACTCCAACATGTGGCATGCAAAGATCGTCATCTCCTTGTGTTATTTACTTTGTTGTAACAACGCCTAGAACATGAGCCAATGTGTCTCAATGCATAATAACATGCATACAAGGTTTATAGCCCTGTTTAGCATATAGCTCTAGCTCTGAGATTCACCTGAAATCTAGAATTTATGTGCTACAATGAAGAGCCTTGAGACTCTTTTCTTTTACCTGACAGAAGTTAAATACTTCAATCAATAAACTCAAGTGTACTCACAGCTCTAGCTCTATTTCGGAAGCTACAATTTTCCAGCTCCAAGAGTCATAGCTCTAATAAATAGGGTTGTCATATATAAAATTGTATACCATTCCTAGAGCCATAAAGCCTTTTTCGCTAATCACAGTACAGGCACACACACTCATACATATATACATTCACCCTTATAAACATACGCGCGCACACTTTATCCTATGAGCACCTCTGAAAAAATGAGACTGAACGCATGCCTACCAAAAAAAAACGCCATTAAATCATGGAATAAATGCAAGAAAACGCGAGCATCCGTGTCAAATCAAGAACTTAAACCTGGATGGATAGATTCCATCACAAGAAATTGCAAGCCAGCCTAGTTGGTGCTGTGTTAAACACAATGCTACATAACACTAATAAACTTAGCAAAATGACAATAAAAAAAAGAGATATTAACACAATCGCTAGTACGCAGACTGTCCAGCAAGCTCTACAGGAGCGCTGCTGGAGTCGGCAGATTACTGGTGGCCTATCGGTACCTGCGATCTCCGAATACATTGCAGTATGGCATGCAGTGCAGAACGTGCAGCTGAATGATGCACCGGATCGGCTGGTATGGCGATGGCCTTCAGATGGTCGTTTCTCAGTCAGATCAGCATACGAGGCCCTGCACCTAGCATCACAGCCAATGCCGGGTGCAAACTTGATCTAGGAGACTTGGGCGCCTCTGAAGCTGAAGCTCTTCCTATGGCTAGCAGTGAGGCAACGCCACTGGACGGCCGACCGAAGAAAGCGGCATGGGCTCGACACACATGAAAACTGCCTCCTATGTGATCAGGAACCGGAAACAATAGACCATATATTGTGGTCTCCTGCTCCTTTGAGCAGCAAGTATGGTGGCAAGTCAGGGCAGCGTTCAATGAGCTTGGCCAACTACAACCATGCGACAGCATCCTGGACTGGTGGCAAATCTGGAGAGCGCAGTGGACGGGAAGCTGCAAGCAAGGTGCAGACTCCATATTTGCACTGATCGCTTGGGAGTTATGGAAGGAAAGAAATGCAAGATGCTTCCGAGGAGCAGCTACGCAATTGCCAGAGTTGCTGGCGTTGATCAGGCACCAAGCCGGGCTTTGGGTCGAAGCCGGGGCTAAAGGCCTGGGTTGCTTAATCCAGCGAGTAGTCAGCTAGCTGATTCAGGGTAGTGGTGAGGGCCAAATGCTTTGTTGATCATCTTTAGAGCCCACCCATTGTACTAAACATTGCTTTCTCTTAATAAAAAACACACAAATCTTTTGCGTGATCGAGAAAAAAAATGCCCATGTTTATTAATTAGCCTCACAAGGTTGATCACTAACATGTTGATAATAACTATATTAAATAAATAGAATCGGAGAGAGTGAATCACCTCACCTCATCACTTTTAAAAGTAAAAAGTATATATAATCCCGTGTGGTCACTATACTTTTTTAAAAAAGAAAAGAAGTGACAGAATATGAATATTAATAAATTTATAGTAACTGACAAATTGCAAGCAAGGTTAGGTCATTTTCCAACATGCAGAACACAGGAGCGTTAAATTAAAACTAGACTAGATACGACGCGAGCGAGATTGACAGACAACTGTTCGTCTCGCAATGATAACTATAACTTGGTAAGCAAGGATGGCCCAGAAAAAAAAAATCTCGACGATGATCATCACAGGAGGAGGACTCGGAACATAAAAAGACGAGATATGACAGGAGGAAAGAAAAGGATAGGATAACAAGCAAACAGGCACAAGGGGAAGCGAACAAAACAATGGTGGCCACAGCCAGAGACAGCAACAGTGATGTGATGAATAATGGTCAATGTGGGAAGGCAGGCGATTGAAAAAATGAATAATGACGCCACCATTCCAACACAGCAAAACGCCCACCATACCAAGCCATCACCACGGTCTTTTCTACTCAGCAGTCGCTATTACCCAGACCTTGCCTATCACTGCGTACTAGTTGTAACCCCGACCCCCCCCCCTCTCCATCTCCATCTATCTTTCTTTCTTCTAGTGCGATAGGTTGTTGCACGTTTTGCAGCACCAGCACCGCCTTGTTCTCTTCTCTCCGTCAGTTTCCTGACCTGCTGCCTTTGGATTGGATTGGAGCTCTACCTCATCAGCTGTTGGGTGGCCACTTGTCTTCTCTCCTATCAGGAGAGCCAGAGCCAGAGCCAAAGCCAGATAGATAGTCCTCGTCTCCATCTCCATCTTCGTCTTCCTCGCTCCTTGAGGAATCTCCATCTTCGTCTTCGTCCTCCTCGCTCCTTGAGGAAATCATCATCAGGAGAAACCACCAAGAGCAAGAGCAGAAGCTCAACTTCCCCTCTGCGTTTCTCAAGGTTAGCGCCCTATCCTCTTGCCTGTATTTACTTCTGAATTTTGAAAGCTTTTCTTGTCTTGCTTGTGTTTCTTGGTAGTAAATCGGGTGGTGTAGTCAAGACTGCAGTTGTTTCGCTCCCCTTCAATTTCTTATCAAAATTCTCCTTTTTGATTGCTGAGCTCGGTGGTATATAATCGGCGGATCCGATACTTTTGATTGATCCCCTTTCCTTTTGTGTGATGTGATGAAATGATTGAACGGCAAAAGGGATGCAACAAGATCCCAGGTTCAGGAATATACCCACCAAAAAGATTAATTTTGGGAGTCACTTTATGCGCTGCGCTGCGAACTGGGCATCTTGTTACATTCTACGAGTACGAGCACATACTAGTATGCTTTTCTTCTGTATGTACTCCTCCATGGTTTATTAATTCTCAAAAATTCATAGCATGTGCTCTCTGAAAAACCGCACCACTGAAACAAAGTCTCAATCAAAATGTGGAAGCCAAGTCAGTTTTTTCCCCTCCAAACCGCTCCGCTGATGATACGCCTGCGGTTTAGCAATTAATCATGTATTTAATGAAGTAGCGAAATTTCCGTAGCTCCAAAGACAGATATCACATTTGTGGACAGATTCTTATTCTGGTATATCCTCAATGGATGTATGGATGGAATCAAACGGCATCATGGAGGACATCTTCACTTGCCTCAATGTTGCCTCCCATCACCTGCCTGCCTGCCTACCTTTCTTCACCAAAGGGGCTCCAAGAAGAATGGTCCCTCCTAATCTCTTGATTGAACTCAACAAGCTCAGCTGCCGCTTTCTGGACGTTGGACTTGTGCCGCTTCATTTATGCCTCCAGATCTCCTTTCCATGATAACCTTGCGTCTCCTGCGCAAACAAGCGGTATCAGAAATAAATAAACATCGCATTCATACTAAACATGTGCTCTTTGTTATGAAATTGGATTGAAGTTTCGGTTAATAAGATAAGAGGCGATATTTCGCCAATAATTATGATCCACTGGCTATAGTGGCAGTCACAATCACAAAAGGGGAGGGCGGGCAGGACTGCTGCCCTGCTGGTGGCATCTCTCTTTCCCTGCGTCAGCATCTGGCCAGCAAAATGTGGCTGATAGTTAGAGCCTATATCAGCACACAATGTTGATGCTTTGCCTTAATCTGGATTGGATTCTAAATGTGTTTATACACCTAAGTTTTGGTTGCTGACTCTGTGTGCACAAGTACATATATTGAATTGTATTGACAAAGGCACACTTAATCATCAGATGATTGCTCAATAATGATCTGTTTATAAGATATACTAGTTCAATATGCATGAGTTAGAACAACCTTATCCTTTGAGAAAGAAAAAAAAGGGTTGTGATAGTCTTTCAGAGGCTTCAAGTAGAAACTCCCGTCATAACATGGCTTCCAAGGTGTACAAACGTTAATCTGAATCAGAAGTTGAGGACCAGATTTCCTATCTACTACTGCTATATGTGTATACAATGACTTGCAAAAGAATAAAAGACAACTTTTCCTTTTTATCTGCTTTATTTATGTTGTTATCAACACCTCTCCTGTCTAACTTTTCAGTACCCCACATGCCTCAAACCACCTTTGATTCCTCAACCAAAGGAAAACTTGTGGGCATCACTGAGAATTTTTTTTCCAACCAACCACCTATTGATTGAATATCTGTCAAACTGGTAGTTAAAATGCTGGTTGTTGCTGTAGTTTCTGCACTGAAGATTTCTAACACTCGTTTTGTTCTTATTTCAGAATACTAAGGTGCATCTCTTCCATGCTACAAGATCTGGTGGCGGGCCATGATGAACAATCTTAAGCTTGGTGTTGAGGTTACCAGTGCTAATGATCTCCTCCCAAAAGAGCAGGGCACAGCCAATCCTTTTGTTGAGGTCGAGTTCGATGACCAGAAGTTCCGCACAGCCATCAAAGACAAGGACATCAACCCTGTCTGGAACGAGCAGTTCTACTTCAACATATCGGATCCATCCCGCCTCCCAGAGCTACACCTTGAGGCCTATGTGTACCATGCAGACCGTGCCAGTAATTCCAAGGCCTGCCTAGGCAAGGTTCGCATATCGGGTACATCCTTTGTCAGCCAACCTGATGCTACGCCCCTGCACTACCCCCTGGAGAAGCGCACAATCTTATCACGTGCGCGTGGTGAGCTTGGGCTAAGAGTCTTCCTCACAGATGATCCATCAGTAACGGTGTCTGCTCCAGGTCACCAGGAGTTTGATATGTTAAGCACGCCTACCACTGCGCAGGAGCAGGCAGCAGCCAGCTCCATTCCAAATCCATTCCAAGAGACCAGAGCAAATCCAGTGAGACAATTCCAGCACTTACCAAGAGAACAGCAGCGTCCTGCACAGCCATACTACGCTGAAGGTTCATATGGAGACCAGCAAAAGAGAAGCTTTTCTGCAGTTGGGAATAAAGCTGCAGCTCCTCAGCCTCAGGTTCAGGTATCAAGGATGTATGCTCCAGGTCCACAACAACCTATAGATTTCCAACTAAAGGAAACAAGCCCAACGCTTGGTGGTGGCCGTGTTATTGGTGGCCGGGTGTACCCTGGTGAGAAGGCTGGGGCATACGACCTTGTTGAGAAGATGCAGTACCTCTTTGTGCGTGTGGTCAAGGCCCGTGACCTGCCCAACATGGACATCACTGGAAGTCTTGATCCTTATGTGGAGGTGCACCTTGGGAACTACAAAATGAAAACAAAGTACTTTGAGAAGAATCAGAGGCCCGAGTGGGATGAGGTGTTCGCATTCCCTAAGGAAGTCATGCAGTCAACGATGCTTGAAGTTGTTGTGAAGGACAAGGATGTCCTTCGGGATGACTATGTTGGTCGAGTGAGTATTGACCTGAATGAGGTCCCTCTAAGGGTCCCTCCAGACAGTCCATTGGCACCAGAGTGGTATCGTCTTATGGGCAAGGATGGCATGAGGGACAGAGGGGAGTTGATGCTTGCAGTCTGGTATGGTACTCAAGCAGATGAATGCTTCCCAAGCGCCATTCACGCAGGATCAACACCAGTTGAATCCCATCTTCACAATTATATCCGTGGGAAGGTCTACCCTGCGCCAAGAATGTGGTATGTGAGAGTCAATGTAATTGAGGCACATGATATATACCCAATGGAGAACCACATACCTGATGTACTGGTAAAAGTGAGGCTGGGCCATCAATTGTTGAAGACAAGGCAAGTTCGCTCACCAACCAGAAACTTCTTGTGGAATGAGGAGCTGATGTTTGTCGCAGCAGAGCCTTTTGAGGACGACTTGATCATATCAGTAGAAGACCGTGTAGCACAAAACAAAGATGAGGTGATTGGTGAAGCTATCATACCAGTCGCAAGGCTTCCAAGGCGGGCTGATCACAAGCCGGTACGGCCAGCATGGTTTGATCTAAGAAGGCCAGGAATAATTGATGTGAACCAGCTAAAGGAAGACAAGTTCTATGCAAAGGTAAACCTTCGTGTTTGCCTTGAAGGTGGTTATCATGTGCTTGATGAGTCCACACAATATTGTAGTGATCTCCGTCCAACAATGAAGCAGTTGTGGAAGCCACCAATTGGCATGCTTGAAGTTGGCATTTTAAGTGCAAATGGTCTCAATCCAACAAAAACCAGAAATGACCGTGGGTCGTGTGATGCATATTGTGTTGCCAAGTATGGTTTAAAATGGGTCCGGACGCGCACAATAGTTGACAACTTGAGCCCTCGATTCAATGAGCAGTACACATGGGAAGTCTTTGATCATGGAACTGTACTCACAATTGGTCTATTTGACAACTGCCACGTAAGTGGAGATAACAACCACGATTCCTCAGGCCACATGGATAAACCCATCGGCAAAGTGAGAATTCGGCTTTCAACACTTGAGACGTCGCGTGTGTACACACACTCATATCCATTGCTCGTCCTCAGCCCATCAGGAGTTAAAAAGATGGGTGAACTACATCTTGCCATCCGGTTCACAACATCATCCCTTATCAATGTGCTCCTTACATACTCTAGGCCCCTCTTGCCCAAGATGCATTATGCGCAGCCTCTGTCAATAGTTCAGCAGGAAATACTCCGCCACCAGGCTGTGCAGCTTGTTGCGCAGCGCCTGGGGCGCATGGAGCCACCAGTTCGCAGGGAAGTTGTTGAGTTTATGTCAGATGCTCGCTCTCATCTGTGGAGCATGCGACGGAGCAAAGCTAACTTTTTCCGTCTTATGCAAGTCTTCTCAGGAGTCATTGCTGCAGGGAAGTGGTTCGGTGATGTTTGTCAGTGGAAAAACCCGGTCACCACAGTGTTGGTTCATGTGCTCTTTATCATGCTTGTGTTCTATCCAGACCTTATCCTGCCAACAATCTTCCTCTACATGTTCTTGATAGGGTTGTGGAATTACCGGTTCCGGCCACGCTTCCCACCACACATGAACACAAGAATATCTTGTGCTGATGTTGCACATCCAGATGAGCTTGATGAAGAATTTGACACATTCCCAACCTCAAGGAGCCCAGATCTCATTAGGATGAGGTATGATAGGTTACGACATGTTGCTGGGAGGATACAGACAGTTGTTGGGGACATTGCCACTCAGGGAGAGAGATTACAGTCACTGCTGAGCTGGAGGGACCCAAGGGCAACAGCTATGTTCCTAGTATTTTGCCTGATTACTGCGATTATACTATATGTGACACCATTCCAAGTGATTGCACTCTGCCTTGGGTTCTTCTGGATGAGGCATCCTCGGTTTCGCCACAAGGTGCCGTCAGCACCAGCAAACTTCTTCAGGAGGCTACCTGCAAAGACAGATTCTTTGCTGTAAAGTTCCTTGGAGAGCAGCTGTCAACGATGTCTAATGTACCTGTTTTTGTTACCCATATATTGTTGTATAATAGCCTTAATTGAGACATAATTGCCACTTCATGTGAGAGAACAAAATAAGTTAATGTCATTAGATGATTTTCCTGCTTTTATTAGTTAAGACATTCCAACTTCTGGAAAAAAAATGGCGTACTCAGTGCAGAGAGCTCCCGCTCTGTGCGGGGTCTGGGGAAGGGTGTCAGTGGCAAGCCTTACCCTCGCCTGTGCAATGCGAGGAGACTGCGACTCGAACCCAGGACCTTCCGGTCACATGCGGTAAGACTCTACCGCTTGCACCAGGCCCGCCCTTCACATTCCAACTTCTGTATGGCATGAAAATGTATGTAAGATGCCTGCTTCAACAACAGTTTCTCCAATTAGTCAAGTTTGTCATGGTAAAAGATTACTGACTTTGGTAGGTACTAGAGATACACTTCCGTTATAAAGCTGAGATTTGAATATCATCTGGATGGGAATACGTAAATAAATTAAATGAAATAAACACCCATTCTAGAGTATATTTTCCATGTCTGAGCATCAAAACTTTGATGTATTATAAAGATGAGAATCAGAACCTTACTGTATCTGAGAACAGGTAACAGCGCCAGTAGGACTGGAAAGTCATTCTTTGCTTCCTTTGAAGAAGCCACCTTATCATTCTAGGACCTGAAGAACATAAAAAGGCATGTAGGCAAAACATAAAGCAACAATATTTAATACTGAAGATTTGAAGAACAAATCCAGATAGCATTTCCAACATACTTAGGTCTCCTTATCAAGTATCATCTCAGGACAAATTTTGAAGTACATGCAGCCCTCCAACATCAGTTCCACACTAAAAAGTGCATTTGTTCCAGTGTTACCTATGGGTACTAGACTACATGTAGTGCTGCAGCTACTAGTAGCAAAATGTTTTTTGATCTATTTTCTTATTGATTTTAATGAGTACACATTATATGTTTTGTGATGCTACAAATTCCAGAAAATACATAAAAATCGAGAGATGACTGGTAATAAGGCTAAACAGATACCACCCAGGGTCCAGCAATCTTTTTGAATTCAGTTTTTCTAACCCTGACACCATCAAGGACAAGAAAGTTGTGTGCAGTCCTAATGTAGGACCAAAGTAGCAAAGGTATTTGGAACATTTGGGATCGCAATTTTTGAAGTGCCTAAAAAAAGGCAGTTAGAAAATTACCATTTTCATGTTAAGCTCAAGTATGAATCTAAATACCGTACAATTTACACAAGTGGGTTCATTATCACAAATTCAAGAGAGAAAACAAAGATAAGAAATGGTAGAGCAAAGATATATAACAGGAAAACCTCTGTTGCCATTTCCCTCCAATTTACACAGACAGTCCATGGGCTGAATGACCCATTTTACATACAAACTTCATGCACGCATCACAAGAAGATAAAGATGTTTTCAATAAATGTATATTATTGTTTACAAATACAGATAAGATGGAAACATAAATCAAATCAATAATTAGTAGTGTTTTGTCATGCCATGAAAAGGGGAAGTCCTCCGGTCCTCCTTTGTTGCTATAAGCCACTTCATATTTCCAGCAGTTGGTTGCCTTGGAACTAAAATGCATGACATATATTTGGTGTATGAATTTCCTTAGAACCTGAAGCAGTATAGAAGAATCAGTACATGTGCACCACAGCGGGAAAATAACCAGTAGTCTATAACTCTGTATTCATGTCAAATCAAAAGTAAACACATGACGAACTAGTAGTCTGTATTGATGTCAAAAGTAAACATTCAACGAGCATTCAACAAAGAAGGTGGATAATAAGCCATCAGGTATTATCTTAGAGTGAAGTATTGAGTACCTTCCTACATTTCAAATTAGTTGGTGATGGTATATATAAAAACATCACATAAATGGGCCTACCGACAGATGCACCTCCTGTACAGTAAGGTGTCCATTCACCAAAGCCTACTCATAGTAACCCAAAAAGCACGCCACAGATTTCCAGTGGTAGTTACCTTGTATGAGGTACTGATAGTATCCATTGACTAGGGAAGGCGAAGCAATTGACTGACAGCCAAATCTAATGAATCAACATTCTTCCGTAGAATCTTCCTTTCAAAATATTAAGATTTAACAAGTAACTCCGAAATGAACAGCATTAAGCTAGCTACGGAAAGTACACAAATTGGAGAATCATATTAAGATGGCCACTCAACAATTCCACAGCATATAATAGAACTAAATTTGTCAGCAACTAACAAAAGGATACAGTTGCATAGCTAAGCTTTCCAAGCCTCTCATTTCTTCATTCAACCTGCAAAAATATATTGAATAAATTCCTTCCCTACCATAGACTTTTCCCAGTCCCTTATTTGTCATAGTCAGTGACAGGCAGGCTCCATGTGTCAGCGCTGGATAATAAGAGATTGCAAAAAATTGCAATGGAAAATAAGAAATTGCCCCTATGTTATCAGAGAATGGTAGCAAGAATCAAAAAACACAAAATGGGCTAACCATTGCAAATATATAAAAAGAACATTATTCTGATAAAGAAATACACATTTTTCATACACCTTCTTTTACTTTTAAGAATCACAGTAATCATGTAATCAGGAAGGATTTTAGCCAATATTGGCAGTTCGCTGTTAATTCCAGAATTAGTACTATTCAGTGCTAGAATATAAGCTGTCTAACATACTGTACTAGCACACTAAAGCATGCCAAGATGAAAGGTGAAGAACATTTTGGTCAAGCTGATCACCTCAAGCACGAATTGATGTATTTATTTCCTTTCGAAGATGCTTCAAGTGCTGCAAAACATAATATAGTAGAGGTAATAATCATAAACTGGAGCACCAACAAAGCAATCGATGTTTAGACATTTCAGTGTAATGAAATGAAATCATATGTGATACAACCCCAAACACAACATCTTACAGAAATCCACACAGCAACCACGGAAACCATGCAATCAATGCTGTTACGGTAAATTATGCGACCTTTAAAGGCTCACACTTCCAACATCAGAGATTTAGTTTCCCCCCACCCGAACATAAAGGCTAATAGACGTCAACAGTCTCGCGGCCTCACCGGATTCCTGTAAGCGGCCGACGACGTCCCCCAAGCACTCCATGTTCTCTGCGGACGTCGAGGTGACCTTCGGTTCCGCGCGTCGAAACAGTAAGATGCATCGTAATCTATCAGTGAACGGTAGCGGTACTAGCAGCAGAGCTCGAAAGGCTCGCCCTGTGTTGGAACGTAAAGAGAGAGAGTACGTACGTTTGAGAGGGCAACGCGGAGGGAGGCGAAGAGGGAGGCGTAGCTCTCGGCGATGGCAGACGCGTCCCGCTCCACCGCCTCCATCGCCGCCGCGACCTCCCGCGCCCCCGGAGGCGCCGGCGCCTGCGTTCCCGGGGCAACAACAGCCGTGGCGAAGGAGGAGGAAGAGGAGGAGGGTGAAGGCTCCACAGTGGAGAGATCCTCCGGGGGCGGTGACGGCGGCGGATCACGGGACTCTCCGGCGGCCGCGGCGGGTTCCATCGCGTTGTCCTGTCCGGTTGGGATTACTGTGCCGTGGAACGGAAAGGAGTTGGAGCCTGAATGTATGTAATGTGACGTGTCTTAACCTGCCAGGTGCCGGATGGAGCCTGACATGGAATTTGATTCCATTTCTTCCCTGATGAAATGGCACGTAACACGGTGGGTTAGCTGGTTATTGAGTTTTTTTAATTGAGACCGAGGACATTTACATAACTTGATTTTAAATAGATATGCGATTAAAGATACTCCATCTGTCCCAAAATAATAGGTGACATTTTTTACTTTCAGACATAACATTCGTCTCTATAAAAAAAAATTGAATAAGACGAATGTCAAACAAGATGTCTGAAAGCAAAAAATATCATTTATTTTGGAACCAAGGGAATAGTGGATTGTTCAGTAAAAGGTACTACTCACCTGTTTTAAATCGTATGTCGTTCTAGTGAACATGTATTAAAAAAATAAAATGACAAGTTAGAACATAGAGAGCAAGAGTACTTCCTCCATCCCAAATTACGAGTGATTCTAATTTTTTTAAGAGTTAGGGCATCTCAAGTTTGACCAAATTTATATAATAAAATAATAATATTTATGATGCCAAATACGAAGAGTATCATTAGATTCTTCATTAATTATATTTTCATGGTATATCTATTTGATGTTATAAATTTTTATAATTCTCGATATAATTTTGGTCAAACTCGAGATGTTTTGGCTCTCAAAGAAAGTTGGAACGACTTATAATTTGGGACAGAGGGAGTAGCTATTATCTTATTATTATGAGGAAATGATTGGTAAATATATATATGGTGTGTTTAGATGAGGGGCTAGATACCATTGCTCAAATTTGGTGAAATGGTCATATTCCTCACATTAGTACTCGTTATTAGCTTAAGAGGGATGTGAATACATCGATTTATTCTATTCCACAAACCAAATAAAAAGTGTAGTTTCTCAAACAAACATCCTAATAGAGTTTTGTTTTGGTTCGTGGATGTCAAGTCAATTTTGGTCCTTGATTAGTTGGCTAACGTTTGGTTCAGGGTCCTTGATTATTTGGCTAACGTTTGTCAAGCCAATTTTGATCCTTGATTATTTCAGCCCTTTTCGGCGGCTTACCAGCCGTACTGCAGCTTATTTCTCTCTCACAGAACACTATTGAATTAGCCGGAATCAGCGCAAAAACCATTAGCCAAACAAGGTATAGTCTATGTTGCGTTGGCACTGATAGTAGCAAGTGAAATGACACATTGTCATATCTGATGTCAATTTTTTGAAAAAAAATATATCTTTTGTATTAAAGACACAAATTGGTTAGCCATTTTCTCTGTTTTAATGTTTGCTTTTTGACAGCAAAAAACAGAGGTCACCTAGGTACACCAAGTTTGATCTCCAGCAGCATAGGTTCGATCCAAAGTCCAACTAAATTAATAAGCAATTATAGAATCAAATTAGATGAAACTTTTTTCTTCAACCTTAGAAATAAGATACCTTCCTGTTTTACTCTTTAAAATGTTTCGTGTGAAATGCATTTCAAAAGAAACCTGTGTTGACATCCATAATTCTGTTCGTTTTTATGTGAATTTTAAATATATCTCATCTTTACACGCTCATGCACTATATATGAAAAAGGATGCAGACATGATGACTTTGCAACCTTTGCAACGGCAACGCTATCAAATCAAATAAACATACTTCTCTGGTCTCTGAATCTGTACTCTGTTGTAATACATGTCTGCAACTAGATTCCTGGAAGTCATTTCTACACAGCTAATTGCCTGCGACGGGGCTTGTACTATGTAATAGTAATTCTCATTATTTTGACGGTTAGCTATTCGGTGTCTTGAGTAATTTTAAAAGGAGGAGTCATTAGAATATAGATGGTTCTTATAGCTTTTTTCGAACTCATTATTTAGTTGTGGTTTCCATCAGTTGTTAGATTTTTGAACTCATTATTTCTTTGTAGATCACTTTAGCATTTGGGCCAAGGCATTATAAAAGTTTTCAGATTATATTATTTATATATAAGATAGATAGATCATACAGTTATGTTCCTCATGTGTATTGCAAGTTAATTTGGGGCCTAATAAGTATTTTGAAAGTTAGCTGTAACTTTCAGACCTTGGGATCAATAAATGATACATGTGCAGTTTGCCTCTATCTCTTGCACCCTGCAATCTTGATTAGTTGTAGAACAGCTAGGCAATGTTCTGAAGAGAGTATATGCAGAACAAGAGCCTTGCTAGCTCTAAAAATTGCAGTGAGAGTTTTGAAGTTTGGTAATTTTGATGCCTAACTCAGAATTTGGAATTTTGTCTCACCGGTGCCTATTCTATGAATTACCAGCCCTCGACGAAAAAATGGGGACGCCAGGAGAGGGACGGATTGCGCTCAGCAATGTAACAAACATGCATACTCCATGTACATGCATACACATATATTGCCACAATATAAACACCACCATGTATATAAACACCACCATGTCAACATCATGTATATAAACACCACCATGTCAACAGCTTGCAGCGAAGAACAATGCGAGAGAGGAAACGAATAGGAAACAACGTGAGTACCGCGCTAGGATAAGGGCTCAAGAAACCAATGAGGAAAGGGAGGAGAGGAATAAAAGGTAGCGTGAGTACCGTGCTCGGCGAAAGGCTGAATCAAGTGCACTTTCAAACGCACCGGACCAACCAAGTGCACTATCTTCGGAAAAATCTTTCGTGGTATAAGAATAAGGTGTTTAGAACATGTGACTGCTATCGAATGATTAGGCATTATTTATTTTGTTCATGGACCTTGCCCTGTTTACTTCAACAAGTACATAATAATATCTCTGTTTACTTCAACAGCGCCCTGCCTATTTAAGGTCTTAGGCAGACTGTAAATTAGATGGTTAAGGCGAGACATAACTTTGTTATGCCTTGTTATGCATAAGTGTTTTTTTATCATATACATGGTCATATACAATTGTGTGAAAGTTGAACTATGAAAAAAATATTATCGTTTGGTTGTTTTTATATACATCCCTAAAATGAAGCCGTGGTGTCAGCACAAGCACTATACTAGTGTATGTAATGTGGCGTGTCTTAACCTGTCAGGTGCCGGATGGAGCCTGACATGGAATTTGATTCCATTTCTTCCCTGATGAAATGGCACGTAACACGGTGGGTTAGCTGGTTATTGAGTTTTTTTTAATTGAGACAGAGGACATTTACATAACTTGATTTTAAACACATATGCGATTAAAGATACTCCCTCCATCCCAAAATAATAAGTGACGTTTTTTACTTTCAGACATAACGTTCGTCTACACAAAAATTTTGAGTACGACGAATGGTCGAACAAGATGTCTGAAAGTCGAAAACGTCACTTATTTTGGGACGAAGAGAGTAGTGGATTGTTCAGTAAAAGGTACTACTCACCTGTTATAAATCGTATGTCGTTCTAGCGAACATATATTAAAAAAATAAAACAAGTTAGAACATAGAGAGTAAGAGTACTTCCTCCGTCCAAATTACGAGTCATTCTAATTTTTTTGAAAAGTCAAAGCATCTCAAGTTTGACCAAATTTATATAATAAAATAATAACATTTATGATGCCAAATACGGAGAGTATCATTAGATTCTTCATTAGTTATATTTTCATGGTATGCCTATTTGATGTCATAAATCTTTATAATTCTCGTTATAATTTTGGTCAAACTCGAGACGTTTTGGCTCTCAAAGAAAGTTGGAACGAGTTATAATTTGGGATAGAGGGAGTAGCTATTATCTTATTATTATGAGGAAATGATTGGTAAATACATATAGGGTGTGTTTAGATGAGGGGCTAGATACCATTGCTCAAATTTGGTGAAATGGTCCCATTCCTCACATTAGTACTCGTTATTAGCTTACGAGGAATGTGAATACATCGATTTATTCTATTCCACAAATCGAATAAAAAAGTGAGGAGTGAAAAGATGATAGACTAGTTTCTCAAACAAACATCCTAATAAAGTTTTGTTTTGGTTTGTGGATGTCAAGCCAATTTTGGTCCTTTATTATTTGGCTAACGTTTGGTTCAGAGTCCTTGATTATTTGGCTAACGTTTGTCAAGCCAATTTTGGTCCTTGATTATTTTAGCCCTTTTCAGCGGCTTATCAGCTGCATCTTATTTCTCTCTCACAGAATACTATTGAATTAACCGGAATCAGCCGCAAAAACCATTAGCCGAACGATGTATAGTCTATGTAAAGTGAGATGCGACGTAGGGGTGGCTGATTTGTGTGCCACATTTTAACTTGACTGCATAGACAACCATAAAACTAACGTATCATTGTAGTAGTTGCTATATGTTGCTTGTTGCATTACTAATGTTCAAATCCCAAAATTTACTAAACCAAATATCGAATTGTAAATTTATTTGAAGTTATTCCTTGTGGTTAATTTATGATAAAATAAGACCCATTTTCATATCTTTTGATTAAAAAAACTTACCGCATGTAGGCCCCAATGTCATCTTGGTTTTGACAAAAAAAGGTTGGTTTTGACAAAAAAAAAGTATGGTTACCATAAAACGACCCCTTCTAGCCTAAATTTTTGCATTGTCCCAACTCTGGCTTGGTTTTTTTTTAAAGGCTCAGTGGGGGAATTCCCCCACCTATTTTTTTATATTATATTAAAAATAACAAGAAAGTACAGGAACAGAGTAGTAAATTACAGGTGCACAAGGTGTGCAGCAAAAGTGAGCTTGCAAGCTGAAGGAAGAAAACTACTGCAAACATTAGGCTAAATTCTCTATATACATATTCAGTTAACCTACAAGATTTGGTTTGACCTTGATACAAATCAGACCAATTTCTTCCTTAAACCGCGCTTTCCAGTTGTCCATGTTGCAAGGTACGCTGTCGAAAATCAGTCTGTTCCTTGAGGTCCATATGATCCAGCAAGCTGACAATTTCTCTGAAGATGGCATTCCCAAAAGCTGTTCTAGCTTCAATCATCATATCTAAAGG